TGTGCTGAGGGATAGTTGGTGCTTAGGGTACGCGTGCCACAGGTACCGCCGATTAGTATATCCACGTCCCTGGCACTCGAGCTGAAGACGAGCGTTCTTGGGTTTCCCCGTCGCGACGAGATCAAGGGAGGTTGAGATGGCCTACAGCGTTGCCGGCGTCCATGTCGTTGGGCGAGGCGAAGAGCCGGTACCCGAGGTTCTTCATGATAGCCTTGCAGTGGTATTGCGTCCTCACCACGTCGTCGAATTTCATGAGCTTCATCCATCTGCCGACGCGGGTCTTGGGGTCGTGGCGCGTGCTCCAGGGCTCGTCCTCGTCGGAGGTGAGGTGGTCGTCCAGGTACTCCCGCACCCTCTTGTGGAAAGTCAGGCCGGCGAACTCGAGGACCTCCCGGCTCTTCCCGTAGGGGTCTCGCGCCAGGTCCTCGTAGCGCACCAGCAGCACCTGGTCGGGCCGCTCCTCCTGCAGCAACAGGTAGGTTCTGTAGTCCAGCATGAGATCCGAACACAGGTATCCGGGGTCCTTGCAGGCGAGGGTGTCGCACCAGGTGACGCTGCTGGCGCGGGAGCTCATCACCGCCCTCGGGTCGCGCACCAGCCACACCAGCTTGACGGTGGGGTCCCGGAGCAGCGGCGCCAGCAGCTCCAGCCTCGCTCTCACCACCTTCATCACGTGCACGGGGAAGAGCGAGCACAGGCGCGCCAGGGTGTCCGCGTTGTAGCACTTGGTCCTCGGCATGGCGCTGCACATGGACCACAGGCGGGTGTTCCGCATGAACATGTCGTGGTTCACGTAGGCGAACTTAAGGTACTCGTCCAGGTTGTGGTAGTCGCACTTGAGGATTGTCTGCAGCAAGCCCTGGACCTCGTCCTGGAAGGAAAGCAAATGGGTAGTTGAAAATGCAATAAAGTGTCACTATACGACTTATCAGAGAAGAAACTACTTAGGATCTTAATGATACACTCAGTTTTTGTATCACACAACTAAAACCAATCAAAAAAATAATTTAGTATTTCCCGTGGCCCGAAAGGAAAGCCGACTTATAAGATTATGAAATCAGGTCCTGACATTGCAATACATTCAAGACATCTAATGCGACGCAAATTAAGAAATCTAATTCCACAATTCGACATATTAACATCCTTCCATCATGTCCCAAGACTTACCCCCCTCCCCCCCCTCAAAAAAAAAAAAATCCTCCCGAACTTTCCGACTTTCATATTCACAGCAGAGGGAGCTGGTAATGGAGATGCTATGTTTCGGATTCTTTAGGCCTCACTGACGACCGAAATCCCGAGGAAAATATTTTGCAAATCTTGAAGATCTTGTTGCATTCCGTTGCGAGGTCAGAGAGCACGGGTTCCTTGTAATGTCGTCGGGTTAGATTAAAGGAGATATAATTTCTTCTATTTTTACTTATCATATTCCATATTAGTTCATCCACATGGAGCTAATTTCGGCGCTGTTGAAATTCCACTTGAATGAAGTAAATATCAATAAGGATCAGAGAGAGAGAGAGAGAGAGAGAGAGAGAGAGAGAGAGAGAGAGAGAGAGAGAGAGAGAGAGAGAGAGAGAGAGAGAGAGAGAGAGAGAGAGAGAGAGAGAGAGAGAGAGAGAGACAGAGAGGCAGAGAGAGAGACACAGAGAGAGAGACACACAGACAGACAGACTGAGACAGAGAGAGATCCTACCTACAAATAACCACACACACAAACAGACAGACAAGCAGACAGACAAAGACACATAGAACCTATTAACCTCGCCCCTCACAGCTCCTCACATCAGAGCACGTCCCTCGAGCACAGGCATCTCCTCAATTTCCTCTTATCTGCAACTTTATTAGATTTCGGTCTTAACGCTCACGAAATGACATCACAAGGAACGGCACCAAGGAGGTTCCAAATTCTCTAATTGTTCAAAGTCGACGCGTTCTACTTTGAAGCAGAATACAGAATCAGATTTCTGGAGGTATGAGAACTATCCTTCATAAGATTTCATATCATTCTGCACAAGATGTAAAATACTTATTGTGTTTTGTTCGGAAAAAAAATATTAATGTTATTGTGATTATTATCATTATCACTATCATCATTACTTTTTTCTTATCCCTTTCACTTTTACTACTATCATCATTATCATTATTATCGTTATCATTATTGCTATTATCACTATTATTATTGTTATGATATAATCTATTATTATTACAATTTGTCATTGTCATTATCATTATTATCGTCATTATCATTATTACTACTATCCTCATTATCATTATTAATATTATTATTACTTATCATCATAATCATCATCCCTATTATTTTTATTATTATTGTTCTTATAACTATTATCATTATCATTATCACTATTATTTTTATTATTATCATTATCAATATCATTATGATTGTCAGCATTGTTTTAAAATTATCATTAACATTATTATCATTATTATCATTATTATTATTATTATTATTATTATTATTATTATTATTATCATCATTATT